TGGTTCACAAGTTCGTATGTGTGGTACTACTGACATATGTGTTCACATGTACATGGCAGATGACTCAGGTGGTAGATCCATGTGGAAGAAGGCTTACATGAAGGTCCTTGTGGGAAGCATAAAACACAACGTTTTGTCCGTGACCTCATTGGCAAACTCGGGATGGCGGTTCACGCAGGGACCGGCTGGTTTTGACCTCTACCACACCGAGTTGAACTTACATTGCATGGAAACTGCCTATTTCTCGAATTGCCCATGGGTTCGCATGCATCCAGAGTGGTTTGTTGCGACTTGTTCTTGTGAAGCTCAGGCTGAACCAGAACAACCAGGTATGTCATTGTGCCCGCTCACGAGGACTCAGGATGATTTAGCGCTTCACCGGAGACAAGGACATGTTCCGTTTGATTCTCGGTGCTTGGCTGTGCTCGAGCTCGGGCGGTGCTTCAGCACCGGAGAAAGCGTGGAACTGAGCGGGAGGTGGAGCTTCAAGCGGACATTGCATATCTCAGTCAGACTGGGGAAGTGTCAAGAGAAGAACATGGCCGTGCGATCAGGATCCTAGTGCTTACTGAGATGATGTCCGGAGCTTTGGGCTTTGTTGTGATCAGTTCAAACGCAGACAAAACGAAACGACAAGTTGGAGCATGGCTGGATCATTTTGGGCTTGTGTCACAGCATACTGCAATTACTCTACACACTGACGCGGAGATTGGAGTTGCCGAACTTGTCGGTCGTTCGGTCGGGTCGTATTCGTTCGTCATCCGTCGAGCCGCACCACAACAGCATCAGTCGATCGGCGGTGCCGAAAGAGCAGTCAGGGAGCTGAAGGAAAGTCTGGCGGTGCTCCGAGCTGATTTAAACCTGCAATCTGTTGACATTGTGTTTTCAGAAGACGGTTTGACAGACGTTTTAACCTACTGTGCGCTATGCCATAACCACTTTTCACGAGCGAGAGGGACCGAACAGAGTCCACTTGAGATGATTGCCGGAAAGAAACTGTCTCGACCTGTGACCACTCTATTTGGAGCCTGTGTTCTTGCAGAGCTTCCGGATAGCGTCAAGGAGAAGAGCCCAAACGAAACGAGAAACGTCGAGGCATGTTTCATTCACAGTGGTATGACAAGAGGCCCTATTGTTCAAGCTTTTATTAGAAGTGATGAAGGCCCAGTGCTTACCAGGTTCACCGCTCGTAACATCCGTCCTATCACACCGTTAAGTTGGAAGTTGCAGTTAGGAGTTGATGTCATTGCCTTGTATGAAGCAGGATCAGTACCAGGTGGTGAAGCGATTGTTGACAAAGCACCAGAGGCGATTGTCGACAAGGCACCGGAAGCGAGCTCAGGCACTAGCAAGGACCTTAGTGATTTGCCCCCAGCTGAATTGCAGCGGTTGAAGAGTCAAGACATGCATGAACCACCCCAGCTAGTGCCCACTAGAGCTTTACGGAAGCCACCAACTGCAAAGACAACAGTGCTGCATTTGCCAGAACGTGCAGACCAAACAGGGAGAGAGAAGACAGTTGAAGACCGGGTTGTTGATACAGAGAGAGAGAGAGAGGACAGTTTTTGCAAAACGTGAAATGCCTTTGAATGACGACCCAGAAAATCCCGTTTTTGAACGAAACGTCAAAACAAGGACAACGCCCCAGGGAGACCAATTTGTACCCACTCCGCTGTGCCCAGCTTGCCAAACTGGTATGGACTGTCCCGGGATTCGCCACACTGCAGCCTGTAAGCGTAGGTTCCAAGCGTTTCAGGAGGATCGCAAGGCAGGTGTGTCCCAAGAGCAGTATAGAGTTAATCCTCCACCAGCGCCCGTAGAAGAAGAAGAGCTTGCGCGGATCACAGGTTGGAGAGGAGGTACCGCAACAACCTCCAATTGAGGAGGTATCTCAGGAACGTAAGGAGACAGCGCCAGCCAGGGTGCCAGGGTTCAGCGTGTTCAAAACAAACGACCAGCAGAGGTAGACACGGCAGACTTAGAGCGCGAGATTAGGGAATCTGCTATTGATTGTTTGGAGAGTGCCCTTGAGTTTAATGGGTTTTGGGTCGAGACGGGTCAACCTGTTTTGCTTTCAAGTGTTGGGGTTCTTGAAGGTCCTGCAACAGGTCCAAACATGTTTGAAGGCACGTTGAATGCTGTGAGGTTTGACGTGGGAAAGAAACATACCTCTGTCCCTATGCAACTAGGAGGGAGTACGGTTTTGCTTTGGAAACCAGACGGCATAGTGGATGAACAGACATTGTTGGATTTGAACTTAGAGCAGGGTTTTGAAGGCATGCAAGAAGAGATCACCAACCTGGAGCAGGGTCGGACGGGCACCATTGCGGATGAGGCCACAGTCAAAGAATTGACGCGGGCGTACCCGAACACCCGTGTCATCAATTCCAGATGGGTTGCAGCCTACAAGAAGAGCAGCGAGTGAGAACAAGGATAGTTGCGAAGGATTTCAATCGTGGTGCAACAGCAAAGAGTTTGGGCTATAGTAGCCCAACACCGTCCATTGAAGCGTTACACCTTGTTTTGGCATTGAGTTCAACACGAGATTTCAGACTACGGAGCCTTGACATTGGACATGCGTTTATGAATTCCCCCATTGGGGCATCGCAAAAGGTTGTTCTCAAGATGCCATTGAGTGTGAGTCTGCAGTGAGGAGAACCCAGCTTCTTGATTCTGTCCAAGGCATTGAACGGATTGAGAGATGCTTCACTTTGTTGGCTCCAGCTCCTGTCGAGTACCGTCGAACAGGCGGGATTGTGGGCAGATGAGCAAGAACCGTGCGTCTACAGTGGGGATCACATCAGCAGAAGGCATCAAATTAGGAGTGTGTTTGGCAGTGGTGTACGTGGATGACATCCTGCTAGCTTCATCTACTGTAGAAGCGGAACAGTATGTCGTTGATGTGATTTCAGCAGTGGTACCCACGAAAACAACTGGATACATCACGGATTCTGGGTCTCTTACTTTCATTGGGAGAGTCTTCACCAAAGAGAAAGGGGGGAACGAATTGTTTCTTTCGGTTGATCCAGGTTACTTGAATAGCACCTTTGAAGAATATGGGATCACCAAAGGTTCACCCAATGTCCCCGACATTGCTGCACATTTGGAGAAAACCATGAATGAATCGAAATTTCAAAAGCTCCTGAGTGATGAAGCATATTCTCGTTTTCGATGGGCGTTACGACGCCTTTTGTGGCTTTCCCAAGTCCGGCACGACCTCAAGGCCTGGCTTTCAGTGATTGGTACTCAACAGGCCAAACCGATGCATGGTACAGAACAGGCTCTACGTGCCGTATTGCGGTTCTTGTATGATGACATGACAACTGGACTGTGCATCCCCAGCAGGGACGAAACTGTGGAAAGCCTAGTCAGTGAAGAACAGAGGCGGACTTTGCATCTGCATGCATTCAGTGATGCGTCGTTTGCGCCCTACCGTTTTAACCAACGAAAGGGGAAAACGGGGGGAGCAATCTTTTTGAAAGAAGTTTAGTGAGAAGTGTATCCAAACAACAACAAGCCACAAGCCTTTCAAGCTGCGAAGCTGAATTGTACGCTCTTCAAACCACTTGTCAAGAGAGCCTATCGTTTTCTAAGTTGGTTCACAGGTTGTTGTGGGGACTGCAGGAAGCAGACGAGCCCGAGGCTGTTCAGATTTATTTGGAAAGTGACAGCAGCGCTGCCATACAACTGGTGAATGCGTTGGATGTGCCCAAGAGATCACGCCATATCGAGGTGCCACTCCTTTGGATGCGTGAACAACTTCGGAGTGGCATGTTGAGCCTACGACACAGGCCAGGTGTTGACAATCCGTCTGACATCTTCACCAAACGTCTAAGTGGCAATGCTTTTTTCAAACACCGGTTTGCACTCGGCTTAGTCAAGGTAGACGGCTTAGCGCTTGATTTGTGCTTGCAACAGGAACTAGATGCTTTGGAACAAACAAAACGAACATGCCAACTGGCCGTGGTCGAGGTGTGTTGTGCAGAGTTTTCATCGTGTCGGAATGCATGTGAGTATTCTCGAATACCATACATCGGTATCATGTCCGGAATGCAAACTTCCGGTACTTTCACAAAGGTTCGACAGTGTGTGTGCGCGAGTGGAAGCAGCGTGGTTTGTGGGTTCACGTTCATGCTTCCATACCATGCACAAGTGGCTCACCGTTGAACAACTTCCGTTCGGACCCTAGTGTGATGACAGCAGCGCAGCAAGAATGGGCAGAGCTGATACATGCAGCGATCGGGTATTTGAATTTAGGAGATGATGCCAGTTTTGAGTTGCCACTTCACAACAATAACTGGATGAAGCCAGAGACTCAGAAGATGATCGCTAAGTGTCAGCTACGGTTTCAGACCAGTGTACGTCTGTGTCGCTTTGGAGTGATGTCACGATCTCAGACACTTGTGGGAAAGGAGCTTAGATTCCAGTGTTTTTCACAAGCATTTGCAACGTATTTGAGCAAGTTTGCAACATGTGACCATGCAGAACATGCAGTACTCTCGGATATTGCATACACAGCAACTGGATTTTACAATAAGAAATTGGCACGAACATTGGTTGGTGCGGTCAGGTATGCGCGAAAGGTAGCTCACAGTGAATCGGTGCAGCCGCAAGGGTCACGTAGCTGACAGACGAAGGACTTGTGTTTAAAAGGGGGTGCGATGCACTTAGCTTCATAGCTCAAAGAAAGTTGCATTGGAAGCCAAAGGTTTGATGATGCAACGAGTGACTGACCACACCTGTTGTCTTTCATTGTTTTGTTTTGTTTCTCGTTTCAGTGCGATGCGTTTCTGCGCAGGGAGCGCTTTGTAGCAGGTTCGTTTCTTCGCAGGTTCAGAGCAATCGCGGAGTCTGTACACCGCCGTTCATTGACACGTGAAGTGCAGTTCCAAACTTGTGACTTGTGGTAACCTCGGTTGAGCCGAGGACACCGCTCTGTGTCTCTTTGCGTGTGTGTGTGTTGAAGACATCATCACATACGCCTCTGTAGTGCCGACGCCATGGCCGATGGGAAACAAGCATCATGGTCAGATGCCGATGAAGCGCAGCTGCAACGGTTGATGGCTTTGAAGAAGGCGGCTGGCAAGGCAAAGACCGTGCCGATCTTGCCGGCGCAGGCAGGTGGCACCATGAGTGATGGGTCCAAGCGCCGCTTGGAAGCTATGACAGAGGAAGAGGATTTCGCGTTGGTCGATGGTCATGGGCCTTACGGACATGGGAACTGGTTGACTTGGGAGTTTGAGGAGAGCCAGAATGTCGAAGACAAGGTTCGTGGCTTACTCCCAGAAGGAGTTGCAAGTTTCCATGAATGGGGCCAGACGGTTTTTGAATTCGGGAAGCTTCGGGGAACCAACACATCGTATGCCGAAGCTATGAATGACAAGAAGTTGGAGAGCTACCTGACTTGGTGACGGAGTCATTTGAATATGCCTTCACCGACCTCAAAAGGGCCAGCTTCTGACTCTGCAGCCTACCTCGCTGCCTATGATGTGGTGAACGCCTCAGCAGGCTCTTCGGGATGCTATACATGGACGAGCGCCCGACGGATCTTGAAGCAGTGAGATGGTAAACTATGAAGTGTGGGTCTCAAGCAGATCCTGGTATTTGCTGGATGGGGTGCATGGCAACAGCTGCCGGTTTGAATGGTTGCAAAGCTACGGATGCATCTTTGTCCGGCTACATATATGTATGTACAGACTTCATACTGTGCTTCGTTCCGTGTGGAAATTGCCCATTTGAGATGATTTTTGGTGAGGATCGATGTGCAGCCTGGACACAATGGTTGCAAAGCACATTGTCAAAAGGGGGTGTGAAAGTGTGCTCCTCCGTCCCTCCTGTGACACTGTGCTTTGCTTTTGACAAGCGGTCTTTGAGCTTTGCAAGTTTGGCCAGCAGTCTTCGACTTTTGCTTTGGTGTGTGTCCTTTGGTCATTGGACCTCGAGTTTGAGACTTTGGCCTACGAAGCTATGTTACTGAACTGAGAGGGTTTAGTGACTCTTTTTGAGAATGAGTTGAGCCACACCACGATAGATGATGAAGTTCAGTTTGAAAGGAAGCTAGCTTGTATGACTCAAGAGTCAAAGCAGAGCTTTTGTGTGTAGGACGCTTTTTGGCTTTGCGTTTCGGTTTGCATTTTTCCAACTTTGTGCTACCACGTTTTCCTGGTTCAAGGAAGACGGCTCAAACACAAGAAGAAAGTACAGACATGTACAAGGGAACAGTTGGAAGTCACCTTCCTTCGGGTGTGTGTGTGTGGAAAAAGAGTTCAGAGCGAGTGAACTTGGTTTCGCTGAGAGTTGTCACTCTGTCGCGGTTTGTTTGCACGAACGTGTTCGGTAGTGACGTGTTTGCGCGTTTGTGCTCCGGCGTGAGGCGGGCGTAAAGGTCGTGAGGTTGCACGCGTGCGTGTAAGTTCCGTGGAGGTTGGGTCTGTTGTGCTTCCGCATGAAGGGTGTTTGAGTGGCTCTATCAGTAGAGAAAGTACCAGGAAACCAGCGAACCGACAGTTTCGCTCAGCTACCCTGGTGTTTTCTACAAACCCGTTGGATTGCGGGGAAGACCAAAAACAGGCCGGAAGGGCAGCACTAGGCCAGGGATGCCGCAATTGGCAAGTTGAGTCTAGGATGGTCAAAGGTGTTACATACAGCCTACATTCGCTGCATCATCACTTCGTTGCGTCAAGGCTATAGAAACAGGCCTTCGGGAGACACCCTTTGAGGGGAACTGTAGCATGCTGCTGTGTGATTCTTCGGCAGTACCCAACTGGTCAGTTAGTAGCCTCTCTCTGGCCCGGGTCGCAATGTTAACCATCGGCAGCAAAGGCCAGCCTGAGTCAGGTTGCCGCAATTCCGTACTGCTACTGCTGTACGAGCTGTGCGCCGTCTTTGCGGAGCTCGCACTTGTATGACAATTAGCGCCCTGCACTTCTTGACATGAGAAACACAGCTGGGGATCAAGGGGTTCAGCACTTGTAGTGCTACTTGTGGCAACCGGCCCATCGAGCTTATCCAGAAGAGGGACTCCAAAAGGTGCCGCAGGATCCGAAATCGTAGGCAGCGCATAACAAACTTTTCCAGCCTCGCTTCATCCGAGGAGGGGGATAAATAAACCGTGGATGTACATCGGTGACGGTAAGCCTCCCAATCTGCTAGGGTCATCGCAGGAGAGGCCTCGAAAGCCCAGCTAGTAGCTGGACACAGCAAGAAGCTCTGCCGGCAGGGCTGTAAGTGCACTGAAGGAGGAACAGGGAGATGTGTTGCCGGCTCTCTTACAAGGCTAGACCAGTGAAGGATGGGGGCAGTCGGACCAGAAAGCCCGAGATCAACCAAATGCCGGTGAGTCACATATCCTTGCGCTCTCCCCTAGCTACCTTGAGCCTGGAAGCTCATCCAACAGAGAAGGACGCCCCTGTTCGACCAGTTCCGGGGGTTTTGTAGAGATTCTAATCACAGGAGACGGCGCCTTTTTGATTGGTTGGTCGTTCGTGCACGCTTGGCCAGGCGTTCTTCTAGTGCTTCTTGTTCTTGCGTACTGGCTGCCCTATAAGTGCGCTTGCGATGAATTTTCACCGCCGGTGGCATAGCATGTACAATGTGCGCCCCAGGTGAGACGCCTTGATACGACGATGGAGCTGCAGCAGTCTCCGCAAGGAGAGCAGTACGTTTGAAATGTAGTTGCTCGCAGCGCAGCAGCGGTAGGTCATGAGGTGAGAAGCCATATTGTTCGCATAGGTGAATGTGCAGTCTGTCCAATTGTGCTTCAGTCGGGCTTGGGCAGGCCCAGAAACCATCACGCAGCCAGATGACAGAATGGAAGCATACAAGAGGTTGCAGGAAGGTGTACGCAGCCCATGCGAGCTTTTGCTCTAGGACTTCGAAGAATCGAAAGGGGTCCGCCCTACATCGTTCACAGACTTCCTCCAAAAGTGAAGCGCCAAGTCTCCAAAACGAGCCGACAAAGGCGGCTCGGAAGGAAATGCTTCTCGGGATGTTTCCCGTTGCACCAAAAGAGAATCGAATGTCAAGAAAACTGGCGTTGAGAGCGTCGATACTTAGATGTGCTGGGGGTTTGCTAACATGTTGAGAGATTTAGGAAGTCATGCCTAAGTCATGCCTAAGTTGTGACTAACTCTATCTTAAATTGTTGTAAGGTTCATAAAATTTTATTTGTTTTATATAACTCTGTTAAACAACATAAAGTGCCTAAAGAAAATTAAGAAATCTTTAATGAGTTAGCTAATCAATTTAACCTTGCAGCTAACCTTGCTAACCTCTTTAGCTGGCTTAACAAAAATACAAATATACATCTATATATACATA